CCTGGCTGGGCCTGGAACTGGCTGGATGTCTTTGTGGTGGCACCGGCCTGGGTGGAGCTGGCCCTGGATCTGAGCTCCACTAGCGGCACCGAACCGGGGGCCGACGGGGGAGCCTCCAGCAACCTCCGAATAGTACGTGTCTTCAAGGTGACCAGGCTCCTGCAGGCGGGAACCGCTCGGGAACCCCTCAGGAAGCCTCGCGAAGCCGAAGCCTTGTAGAATGTCCCAAGAGTGCTCGCTCGAGTCTACAGAACGGGGGGGGGGGCTCTAGGACTTGCAACAGTTTGGGGCTGGCTGTCTTTTGCAGGCACGAAAGGATTGATGTCTTTTTTCAAGTTTCAAGGTGTAGTGCTTGTCTCTGTTTTTTCTATTCCACTTGCTCCTGCTATCACTTCTTGTCCCTGTCACGAAGCGCAGAAAGCAGTGACCTTCTCAGACTCACAGTCATTTCCCTGTTGCACCTCCGGAAGAGTTGCGAGCACAGTCCTCTGCTCAAATAGTTTTGAACCCCAGAAGAGCCTTCAGAGCGGTGGTAGGGACAGTTTGGTGACGTAGTGCTTGTGTCTCAAAAGCAGGCCCGGGTCTCTGGATGTCTCTGGGTGTCTCTGCGTCTTTTGCTGGCCTTCGTGGTTGCGGGTTCTGGTTTGGGGGCCGAAATCGTTTCGGGCCGGCTGGCCAGTCGGGGTCTCTCCCGAACTTGCCTCCTCTCCGCCGCCGCTACAGCAAGCTTCCCGATGCGCCGGAGACCCTTCCGCCTCCATCGCGGCAACACACGGCACAGGGGTCCTGCATCACGGGCCCTTGGGCCTCCGAAGGTTCTTGCTCCGAAGGTGCCTCAGGACGAGAGAAACGATGCCATTGCCCTGCAGTCCACGGCGGAGCCTTCATGCTGGCGATTGCCCAGAACGAATTTTTCGCGGGGGATTTTCCCCCAGCAGCACCTCCTCGGAGTACTGGAGAGGTGCTACGGCAGAGCAGAGGACATGAGCGTCAGGCCGATCTTCTCCTTGGACTGTTTGACTGGAGAGAAGTTCTGGGTAGCATCTGATGTTGCAGTGTGGCCTTTTGGGCCAGGCAAGCGAGACTGCGAGGGAACACACAAGCCTTTTCTGGAAATCCGGCTAAGATCTTCCAAGGCAGGGGATCCTGAAGCTTTGTTCAAAAGGCTTTGCTCCTCTGCCCTGCGTGGGCCACGACGGCCCCTGACGGGATCAAGATGCGGGCAGACAGGGGCCCGCAACGACCGGGACGAGTTTCGGCCGCTTTTGTCCGCAACCTTGCAGTCAGTGGGCACCTCCGGCAACAGGAGCGTGCTTACGGAAGGCACAGGGTACACGGTACAGGGGCATCGTTCAAGGGTGAGGGATCCTGATATCCAGTTTGAGGCTCTTCAGCTTCTCTCGGCATTGAGGCTTTTGGGAAGCACTGGCTTTCTTGGTCGCTCCTCCAGCTTTGGAGGGAAGGATGGCGGTCTCAGCCCGTTTCCCACTTTTCAGAGATCTGTGGCACAAGACAGGAGAGCCCGGCAGGTGGCGCGCCGGTCCCCTCCCGTTCATTCCTGGACCCAAGCGAGCTCACGAGATGTTTCCTTGCAGCTGGTTTTACCTTTGTTTTGTGTCCACTGTGACGTGCTGTCACCTTTTGGCACGTGGCTGCTTTGGGTCAGAGATGCTGTTGGTCTGATGAAGTTCCCTCATCACCTCGTGTGGTCTCGTGTATGCTCGCCCCTTCTCCTTCCTTGCAAACCCCTCACCCTCCCTTATAGTTAAGTTGGTTATAGGGCTCCCTTTTGGTGTGACGGGAAGAGTAGGGACGCTGGGCGAGGTGGTGCGCTCCGTCCGCCTGATCAAGTTCCTCGGTGCCTTGCGCGCGCTTGCCGCTTGGGAGATGAACACATAGGAGCTCTGTGCGGGGATTTTCTGTGAGTCTTCTGTGACTCTCCGCGGCCACTGACAGCCTTAAGTCGATTTACGTCGCCGTCCAGAGTCAACACAGTTTGCAGCCTAATTTTCGTCAATCAGTTGTGTTGCAAGTTCACTTGTAAGTTCTAACAAAAGGCAAACAGGTGCCAGAGACGAATCCAAGCGAATGGCATCTCACGCCAAGTTGCTCTAAACGTGTTGCAGAGTGCTTCCTATTGATGCCGATCAATTCTCCAGGTCATGTCCGTCGTGGACACCACCCGGCAGCTTGCGTGGGCCCTGCTCTTGCTTGGACTGGTCATCTACAGCTTCGGAATTCTCTTCGCAGATGCTGCCGTGGATTACGGGCTGCGGAATAACCTTGGCGACGACAATACCTTGATGAAATACTTTGGAGGAGTGTACCTGTCATGCCAGACGCTCTTCCGAGCAATTCTGGGTGGTCTCGATTGGGAAGTCGCCTCCGACTCCTTGATTCCAATCGGCTGGTTCTGGGTTCAGCTCTTTCACACGTACATCGCTTTCTGTGGGTTCGCGGTACTAAACGTGATGACTGGAGTCTTCGAGTCTCGGCTTCGTCCAGTGCTGTCTGCTCTCTAATATTTTTTTTTGTTTTTCTCTGTTGGAACACTTCGTCACTTCCTCCCAGACTGACGAATCGTCCCAGACTTTGCTCCTCTCCACGCTGAGGTCAACAGTGCGATCAAGACCCGCGAGCGCGATCACGAGACCTTGCTTCAGAACAAGCAGCGCTTCAAGGAGCTGGTGTCAAAGATCTGGTCCAGAATGGATTCCTCAGGACAGGGCCAGATTACAATCATAGAGTTCGAGAAGATGTTTGAGGATGAAGAGATGAAAGCATTTTTTCAGACCATCGAGATCAACGCAGTAGATGCTGCCTGATGTGCACTACTTGGTATCACTTTGGTCTCTCTGCAGTGGCCTTTTGTTTGAGAGACCCTCTGGAAGTCACGGAAGCTGTTTGGAAGCTTGCCTTCGCTCTTGCGCTTTCCCCCCCCGTTCCCACCCGAGACATGGGAAAGACTTTTCTTGATGTTCTGGTGCGGTTGCCCCCTTTGAGTTCACACGGGCGGATAGTCTCGCCGGTTCTGTTCGCAGAAGGAGACAGGCCAAGGACGTCCGCACGGAGCCTGCGCTTGACCTCGCTTCCCTGTTTTTTTGCCTCTCAAAAACTCCACAATAGGATTAAGCGAGGAGCGCGCGCTAGAGTTGTGGAGGACGGCCGCGAGGTGACACTCCAAGCATGTCGGGATGCTGTGTAGGCGGTTAGGACCAATGCGCGGTACCTCCACATGTACAGTAGCTCGCAGTGTTCCTCCCAGCCCGTGCAACCTTGGTTATTTTTGTGGCCCATGCCCTCAAGGTTCGATTTTGGAGAGTTTTTTGATCTCGAAATTGAGGGCGGCGCTCAGTGCCAGAGTGCTCGAGCATAGGCTTGGACCCTCTTCGATAGCCTGGACGTGGACGGAGATCACACGGTGAGCCTGGACGAGTTCTCCGAGCCGCATGGCAGAAGTCCTTGGTAAGTGCTGCTTTCTCGACTTGCGGGGTTTCCACCTCAGGAGGTGCATGCAACTGCACGGCCCAGCCAGATCTGTGGACTTGCACCATGGATGCAATAAGAAGAATTCGGTTCTTCTGCAGGTTCAGAAGCTTTGCGCAGGCTCAAGAAGCTTTGCGTTCAGAGTGACCAGGAAATCGGCCTTGCCTAGCCAGGTACGCGCTGATCAAGCACATCAACGCCCTGGAAGAGCAGCAACAGCACATGACGCTTGTCCTTCATGGGAGTTGGGGAGTTGACCTTTCCAAGTGGCTAGCCGCGGGTACCCAAGAAATGAGCTCAGCATGAGCCCGGGACTGCCCTCAGCATGATCCTACAGCATTATCCTTCAGCAGTTTTAGCATGTTTCCGAGCGTTCAAGGAGCGATTGTCTGGCTGCTCTCATCGACAAACCCCATGCCGCTTGGATCATGATCAGGGGACATGAGTCGGGGCCATCTGTTCTCCCAGATGTGTGCAGCACTGGTGCAGCGGTGGTGCTCGGCTGAGGCTGTGGAGGACAGCGCCAGCTTTTCGTAGCTTGGTTTGGTCAGACCTGGCGTGACAGTACTTCAGTGGAGCCTCCCCCCCCCCCCCCCCCGGCCTCCTTCCCTCTTAAGCTTGTGCGCGGGGCCGAGGATCGCAGCTCTGTCACGCGACCCTGATCGCTTCTCTGCGTAGCATATGCTCACACGTCGAATATTTGAGAGCAGGAAGCAGAAGAAATGCAGGAAATGCAGTCTACAGGAGAGGGATGTTTTCAAGCAAATCGTGCCAAGATGTTGACCATTGAATGATGCAGCCTGCAGCATCCTAGGTGCATCAGCTCAGAGTCCTGTTCCTGTGTCACAATTACACAGCTTACCGGGTGAACGATCTTGGCCAGCATCAAGGCTTCCAATGTAGAAGCCCAAGTCTTTTTAGCCGCGCGCGGCAGCAGCTAGTTGCATCTAGTTTTGTTTTCTGATTTCTGTTGCCCCCGACTTCCTCGACTTCCTGGAGCGTGGATTCGGGAGATAGGTCAGATAGGTCTCACCCTGAATTGTTCTCAAGCCCAGGCTTCCGAAAGGCACCCAAACACTCCGAAACTACCTCTACCCTGGAGGAACTGGGACATGCTATGACACACTTATGAGCAGTGCTGATGGCATGCAAAATTTTTTGTGGGTGTGGAATCCTGGGATTTCGCAGAGAAGGTGCTGGAGAATCCAGCTCAGCCGAAGGTTAAACCCTGCGAGGCATGGGGGGCCGTCGGCAGCCCACCTCGTGTCTACCAAGTGTTGGGAGATGTTGGGAGAGAGTGGTGTTTTTTTTGTTTCCAGCCGATGCGCCAAGCCCCCCAGGCCATTTTGGCTCACTGCGGAGTGTTGCAACAGCCGAAGTGCTTGAGCACCATTGAGCACCGGGAAGCGGAAAAAGTGGAGGGTGCTCTGCAAGGGACCGGCTCTGCAAGCCGCTGCAAGCCCTCACGCATCCTCTCTCTTGTTTCTGCAGAATGCTGTAGAATGCGGTCCGAGGTGGCATTCCCCTTGGGAAGCTCAAGCTCAGCCTCAGGCATGGCCTCTTCTTGTCTGCCGAGCGCTCTTCTGCTTGTGTCTTTTTTCCCATACGTGCATATATAATCATATATACATATGACTTGTTCGGTTTTTTTTGTAAAGCTAGATGTGGTGTCTTCCAACAACCCCCTCGGATTTTCTTCGAGCTTCTGTGAGCAAGTCGTGGGTTGTGAGGCCCTCGGAAGCAGAGCCAGACTCCGTGCGCTGGGCCTCGTTTGGAGGCGCTGAGACATGGAAAGGGATGGAAGAGAGTAAAGGACGGAACAAAGAATGGAAGTCGTTGGTCACTTGCTGGCCTCTCGAACTAGCCTCTAAGAACAAGGGAACATCTTCTCAGAGAGGAGGGAGCCATAGAGTTTAACTTCGTCGGCGGACGCCGCCAGGCGGAAGCCGTGACTTCGCCTGGAGGTGTTTGCGGGCGGTCCTGGAGTTGACGGTTCCGCTCTCAGCTGCGCTCAGCTGGGCTATGTTTTTTTTTCAAATGTTTGTGGGGACCTTTAAGGCAGCAACAGCGCTGCCTTTTCTGCCCAGGCCGTCATCATCCTACTCATGTACCTTCTGAAGTATCCCTACGCGCGCTACGTGCTGCCCTTAGGGTTCCAGAGCGCAGGGCGCAGATCTGTGCGGCCTTTTCGTCGGTTGCTTGAGGTCATGTCCTTTTCGTACGCCGAGAAGGGCAAGCCCAACAATTTGAACGGACACGAGTGGGTTCTGACATGGGTTCTGGGAGCAATGAGGCTTCGAACTATGTAGCGGGAGGCATGGTAAGGAGAAACGAGAGGTGTGAAGCGCCGTGCAGGAAACTTTCTCATGCTCATCTCCATCATAGCCGCAGCCTCTGCTTTGGTCAGGGTTCGAGCTTTCGCGAGGAAGTCAATTCAGCTCATAGAAAAACCCGAAAAGTTTGCAACAAGGGGCATGGGCCAGGCAGTTCAGAGAGAGCAGGGGAATCAGGGGTTTATAGGTTCCTCTGATGCGTCACACTGCCGAGGCCGACGCGAAAAATCAGGTTGTTACCTTTCGCGGGTTGTTTCACATGGCACCTTATTTCCGTTTCATTTCCATCATCGTCTGTTTCCTGTTTTTGCGTTCTTATGACACGCACTCCTTTAAGACTACTCCCAAGACTTCCCAAGTAGTATGGGAAGCATCTCAGGCCATTATTTTCTTGTTATGGTTCGGATACATTTCCGTCTCACAAGCTAAATACGCTTCCTGAGGCAAGCTTGCGTTTGGGAATGCACTGTGGATATGGTTTAGATATGGTCCCCAATACAAGTTTTTGTACAATGCCCAATACGGGCCCGAATACAGGGTTGAATACGATTTTTTCCATGAGGCAAGCCATTCATGCTGCATGATTCATGTGGCAGCAGAAGCTGTGCAAGAATGCTCCACTAGGCACCTCTGTATTGGAATCATATTGGAGTCGTATTCAAATCGTATTCAAATCGTATTCAAATCGTATCCAAATCGTATTCAAATCGTATTTGAAGTGTATGCTTGGACAATTGGCGAGTTTCCTCGATGCAATCACCTGCGTATCGCCCCTTGTATTCTAGATGGTATCCAGTTCGTATCCATCATGTGCTGGAAATGTATGCGTATCTACACTCGTATCCCTGAAACGTATCGATATTGTATGCAACCCCATAAAAGAAATTCTGGAGCTTTTCCTGCCTTTCACAGACTTGGGAAGTCTTGGGACTACTCGAAAAAGGCGTACACACACACACACACACCCCATTGGGGAGTTGCAATGAGATACACGGTCTGTAGATGCAAAAACCTGCCTCGCAAAGCTGCGTTGTTTTTTGTCCGCTCGTCGGGGCGTTCGCTTCAGAAGCCTTGCGGAGGGGGACGGGGCTGCAAGTGCGAAGCTTTTTTTGGCTCGGGAGCCTTTCTCTCTTCCTTGTGTTGCCCCACATAGCTTTGCCAAGTTCTTGCCTCTTCAAAAAAGGAATGAGATGTTCGAAGGGACAGACCAAGTGTGCTGTTGTGCTCTGGTGTAGCTGGGCCATGTCCGGCCGGGCTCGGCCCAGGCCAACCAGATCATCTACTTCTTCAGTGACAAGGTGGCCGAGGACCTCAATTTGTGGTCCCTGGGCCCAGAAACCTCCGCAGGACTTGAGGTTTGGGGTGTTGAGGGCCTAAGAGTTTGGGCCATTTCTACTCCAGTGCACTCTTCGCACGCCGGCATCGACCCTGTGATTGCAACGCCCGAACGTGCAGAAAAGCCTCGGCTCCCCTTGACGGTGCAGGTACACTGAGCACAAGCAAAAGGCGTATTTGCTCTTCTACCTTGTGGCGATGGTTCTAGAGCTGTGCCTAGCTCAGCCTTAGAGACAGCAGCCGCAGTAGCCTCAACCTCCAAAGCAGTGCTTCAGCTTCAGCCTAGTGGTCATGGGGCCCTTCCGCACCCACCCTACTTCCAGGCTACCCAGCGACTTAGCATTGTCCTCAGGATGATGGATCTGTTCTTCACTGCACGGACGACTTTCAATCAGCTTGTGGCAGCCGCTGGGCCATAACACATTCTTGGGCATAATTTGCTGAAAGTGTGTATTTTGCTTTGTTCACTTGAGTTCACGGAACACGACCCACGGATGAGAGAGAGAGAGCGAGAGAGAGTTTCCCAGAGGGGGACAAACGGGGGGAGGTCCAATGTGACCAAAGCAGGTGAGTTCCAGTCGCTAGATGCGGGAGCGGGGCAGCGCAGTAGCGCGGGGCTCGCCCCATGCCCCAAAGAAAGAAAAGAAAGAGAGTAGGGCAATGCCCCTAACGTCCCGAGCACAGGGAGCCGTGGCGTGATGTTCTAAGTTTCTGATGTTGCTGCTAAGCTCCACTCGGCAATGCGGACAGTTTCACACACGGACAAACCAAGTTGAGCACGCCCTTCGTTACGGCCTTCCCCGGGGTTATGTGCACAGGAAGGAAGGAAGAGAGACAACAAACAAACCGACACACCTGTGTCACCAAACATCTCTTGAGCCTTCTTCTGTCCATGTGTGATGCCTATAGAGTCCAACAACTTGAAAGCAGGGAGCTCTTGTAGGGGAGGTTGTGGCAGAGAAGGTGGAGGACCACACGAGTCGGGCAGGCTTCGCCCTCTCTTAGCCGAGGCAACCGGTAAGTATTCTTGCAACTCTTCTTTGCTTGTCCAGCACTGCTGTTTGTCAAGCGGTGCTTTACGTGAGAACTTTCCTTGAAGCCTTGGGCGTAATCACTTCCCTCTTAGTGGAAAGCACGCGATCGGCATGACACGCAGACTTGTGACTGAGCGCACTTTGGTGAAGCTCATACATGGTGGAGATGGAGACCGGGAAGAACGGACCACGGCCGCGTGGGCCAGCACCATGCCGTACCATGCCTTCGACGGCACAGCGGGACCCAGCATGCCAACCATGCCCCCAGCCCAGGAGTCAAGACACGAGCACGGAGCAAGTCAAGCCACCGTCAGGGAAAATGGGCAGAAAACACTCCAAGAAGTGAGGGCCGCCAGAAGAATAGCCGAGTACAAGTCATCACCACCGAACCAATGCCCGCTGGTGCGCGGGAGACAGCACACCAGGCAGCACAGGGGGCACCGCGCAAGCTCCCCCGGGAACATCTTCATCTCGCACCTGCCAAGACTGAACACGGGAAGCTAAACAAACCTCCTTATGCCCAGCAGCAGAAGAAGAACCAGAAGGCGGGGAGGGAGACAGAGAGAGAGAGATCCGCCCCTTGCCACTGAAATACGTGAAGCCGTTCGGGCAATCGATCGATGGTTGTCGACATGGTGGGGACAAGACCAAGAAGCACAAGTGATAGAAGACAGTCAAGAAGCGCAAGGACAGCGAGAAGGCCAAGAACATGGAGGATGTGGAGAAGAAGCTGACAGCGGGGGAAAAGACCAGCGAAAGATCGGAAAAAAAGGACAAAGATGAAGAAACATCTGGAGAGGAGAACCTGAAGGACAAAGACGAGCAAGACAACGAGGAGAGCGATGGGGACAAGATCCACATGGGTGGGGAGTCGGAAGAAGAACAACGAGGCGAAGCAGAGGGAAGCAGTCGTCGGGGACCAGAACAGTGAAGAACTGAGTGGCACGACGAGATCAACTGAGACGGGGCCATAGAATAGGGAAAGTCAACTGGAGATCTATGTACAGATGCAGGGGGCCTACAGAGTGTTCCGTGGTTGTGGGGGACTGTTAAGCGGTGTAATGTCCTTTATAGTGAAGGTGTTGTTTTGTTGTTGTGTATAGGATTTGTGGGTGTGAAGGAACGGACCCGGAAATGATGGCATTGCAGGGAACACCCCGAGCAATGACAAAGCAACCAAGAGACGCACGGGGAAACCTGTGTGGGGAATTTAGTTACTAAGCCACACTAAGGTTCACTTGGGTGGAGGGGAAACCTTCCCGACCGGATTCGGGCGCGCCCGCGCGCGAGGGCCCTTGGGCCCTTAAGCCCAGCAGAAGAAGAAGATCCGCATGTCTGGGCGAGCCCGGTGCGCGGGGTGTCGGGTAACTTCCCTACTCCTCAAACCCTGTAGTAGAAGAAGAAGAAGCAGAAGAAGAAGAAGAAGAAGAAGAAGCAGAACGAGCAAAAACAACCACCGATACCATCCCGTGGCACCCGCCTTCACCCGATAGCTACCGCCGGCCGAATGAGCAAGAGCATGGGAACCAGCAAAAGAGAGAGCGCGCAAAGCCTAGACGTTCTTTTCCAAACACTTTGCGCCGGGGGTTCAGGGGGCTTCTTTTTTCGGGGCTTCAAATGTGAGAGAGATGTGAGCTAGGGTCGCATATGGTCGCATCGCACATCACCGTCATATCACCCCCAGGCCGGTCGCCGGACCTACGGCGGGGAGAAGCTGTCGGACCTGGCCAGCTGGTCACCTCGGCTCCTTTAGAAGGGTGTGAGAATTCTCTGGGCCCACGGTGAGGATGTGTTCCTCGGGATAGCCTGCAAGTTCTTACGAGATGATACATCAGGGGTAAAGGTCAGGAACCAGGGGTTGACAAAGGCTCGCGTCAGAAGATTCGCTTTGTCTTGGACTTTCAAGATGGGGAGAGCGTGAGAAGCAGCGAGTATGGGATACCCTTGCCTGGGCTGAGTGGCTTGCATGGCTTATCGCTTCCGGGGAGTGGCAGGCTTTGTTTGAGGCGTTTTGTTTGCAGAGTCTCCATTTGTTGAAGTGGGCCCCTCTCTGATTTTGCTTGCTCCCTTTGGAAAAGAAGGGGGCGTTATCCCGGTCCCTCTCTGCGTTTTCACCCTGTTGAGAAGTTTTTAGTTTTCATCTCAAGGCATGAGTTGGTCCAGACCTACGTGATGCAGAATGCGCTCGGCAACCAGCTTCTGGAGCACCTTGGACGTGCAAGAATTGTGCTATACCTCCTAGACTGCTGCTAGGCACTCGTGTGTGTGGGGCAGCGAGGCGTCATGTGAGGCAGTTTGAGACCGTGCTGGGGGCTCACAGTTTTCTGGGATCTCCTGAGCTCCGAGTGCTGAGTTACGCCTTGCCCTCGACGTTCCTGGCGCCTTTTCTCTTCGAGCCGTTGATCGGATGCTTGGACGCATGTCCGAGATGCCCGATGGAGCCAAGGCTGTTCGGCTTTTTGGCACTGCTGTGTTGTCCAGGCTTCTTCATCTACCACATTGGCAAAGTGATGGTTCGCTCCCACGTG